ATACTAAAGTTCATTGATTTTCAGTCCAAACATTCTTGGTCTTGCCTAAAATGAAAATATAATCATTCTAGGGAAGATGGAAGCGAAACCAGATGAGGTTGTGTCTTGTGTACTCAATACCCTACTTTCCCTAGATTGTGTTTATGCAAAATCCGCAGCATCGGAAATTTGTCACTCTTTCAGTCTAATTGCGTCGATGTAATCATCAGGAGGTTGCATTGACCAGGGTATTGATGAAGTGGTACTCACTCAAGTTACACAAAGTTATGCTCATTTCAGAAGATAAAGTATATTTTATTCTGTTCACAGTACCACAAATCTCATATATCCCCCCAATAAAGATGAACAGTATAAGTAATAGTTCTTACTCTGATACTGATTGAAGATGAGACACAAGGTGTGAAGATGAGTTCTATCAGGAGTACATATCAAAGCACATCCCCTACGGCCTTATCTTATCCTTAGTTTCCTACAAAGTGTATCAAAATATTTTTTCCATGAGAAAGTAATCATGAATTATTGCTTGGGAAAACTAAATCACATTTCTTCTTAAATCAGTACATTTGGAGTATTAAAAACTTTGAAGGAAATATTAAGTACTTTTTTATCACAATAGGATTTCTTTCAGCAATATTTTAGAAATAATTAAATTGGCTTACTTTAGAGCTCTAGACTTTGACTCGATTTGATTATTTATAAACAAAAAACAGTAAAAATGATACAGGGATGCATATTCTTTGTTTTATCATTCCTTTTCCTTGGTAAGAAGCTTCAAAGCAATCAAATAAAAAATCGCCTTGTGCTCAATTTAGAACTGTGCAAGGAGCCAAATAAACGATAGAAGTTATAGGATTATTACTTTAAATTAAAAAAGTTACATCAATAGAATGGCATACTGTAGGGTAAAGAATGTAATTTTACTCAAATAATTTGTTCCTTGACCTTGGTTTCTGCAAGAAAACCTCTACAATGTGCGACTCCTTCCCACCCCCATCCTCATGATTAAAGTATCTTTGATAAGGGTTCAAGACCACACCGAAACACATAGATTATTCCAGGGAAGGGAAAATTAGAGTGAAGAAGGGAGAGCTCTTCGGGCCGACTAAAAAGAACCTTCTAGGTAACAGTCTTTGTATCTCAACCCATGAGCATCACTCAGGAGACAAGAGATGGAGTTTGAATTACATGATGCAATCCCTGAGTAAACTCTTTAGCCATGGATGCTCCACAGGCTTCCTGTTTGGCAAAAGACATTGCTGCCTTTAAGCGGATGCCATATCCCTATTTCAGATATGGAAATGCAGCATTGGAAACCCTCCTAGACTTCACCATGTAAGTCTCTTCATTTGTATCCTTTCTGCTATAATAAAGCTTGAATCATCAGCTGTGTCGCATTTTCTTAAAGCTCTGTGTACTTAAATTCAATGGAACCCAGCCGGTCAGAAACGAGAGGGCCCCTGAGGAACCCCTGAGCTTGCAGCTGGCATTGTCAATGGGCAGCCAGAAAAACCAAATTGGTAGCCAGCAGGTCAGATGTGATGGTGTCTTGGGGAGACCAGGCTTGAGTTGGCATCTGAGGTCTTGGGGAGACTTGAAAGTCTGCGGGGGCTGTCCCCTTTAACTTGTGAGGGTGACCTGCATTGGCTTGGTTAAGACCAGCTACATGTGCAACTAGTATCAGAATAGAAATCTCAGAAAAGTAGATTTTGATTCCCCAGATAGCTGGTGTCAGTGACCTGGGATTTGTCTTATCCAGGCACAAAATTCACCCCCCTCCAAAATAAATAAATAAATAAACACTCAATGATCCTGCAATCAAAGAATATAGCCAGGAAATACAGTTCTTTTGCAAACTTATACTCATCAGATAATGTTATGATAGAGGCAATATCCCGTTCAGACTTCTGTCATTGTGTGGACCTGTGTTTTCCTTCCTTCTTCTCATGCTTTGGCATAGCTGTCTCCTCCAGGGTCTGTTCAAGTTCTTGCTCAGAAAGCCAAAAGAAACCCATACTCCATCTAAAGAGACCTCCTGATCATCACTCTCCCCGAGATCAGATTCATTTCCTAGATGGTACATTAACACAAGCCGAAATGATCAGGTTTATGTATTTGTGTCACGCTCACTGTGTGCCTTACGCCGTTAGGAGGTGAACTCCACAAGGGTAAAGCAAGGGTTCTAGTGTTTGCCACTAGTCCTGGTGCTAACACAATGACTGGCTCATGGTGGCTGAGCTTGCCTGTCTGCCTCCTGCTGCCTTGCAAACTGTGCGTCAATGGACTCAGAGAACACCCTCTCTGGGACAGACCAGAATTTGCTCTGCTGAATTCTCCCTCGTTGGATGTCACTCTTGCTCCTCTCATTTGGCTGAGAAGACGGTTAGCAAAAGATGAAGACATAGAGGTGTTCAGAAAAAACCTGCGTGGTCTGTCTGCTTAATCCCCTAATCTAGTTTTTCTGGAGTCTGCTGCAGGTACTTGTAAAAGGATGCCTTGGTTCCCGCTTGTCATAATCCCTTGGATGTGTGGCTTCCTTAGGAAGACTAGCTGAATCGACGCTGTTTGAGGTTTTTCTGTGTCTTCTCATCACAAAGCTTTTTAATTCCATACAAGGGGTTTCTAGGTGAAGCAAATTGGTAGTATGTGCCCACAAGCTGGGAATTTGGTGGATTGAACCTCTAGTGAGGTGGCTCAGAAGACAGCCTTCTATACAGCTACAATCTTGAAATTTGTATGACGTACAGTTCTACATGATATACAAAGTGCTTCCCTGAGTCAGAATCAATACCCTAGAAGGCATAACCCTCTAGCAAATTATAAGCACGAAGCTGGCCTCTCTTTCCTGTTCTGTCCTCTAAGCACCAGCCTCAAACCACTCGGTCTCCCTTTATGCACATTAGCTCTGGATTCCTAGGAAATGAAATGAACCAAACAAAGGAAAAAGCAAACCTATTTGACTTTCCATATTAAAGAAGAAAAAAATCAAGTACCACCATTGGTCTCTAGAATCTTGCTGTTAGTACTTGATAAAGTAATTCAAAGCAAAACATTGCAATGGAAATAAATAGCTTTCTTAAGACCATTTCCCAAGTATATGTACCCATTCCTCCCTTGTCCACATGACTAAGTTCCAGTGATCAGTGGCTTATAAGAAAATAGGCATTTTTTAAAATGGGAGGATGACTAAAATTATTAGGTAACTACCAGTTTAGGTCATCACATAACTGCCAACAACTAAGAATTATGACGCAGCCAAGTGGAAGCATAGCCTTAGGCATCTTGGGCAGCGTCGTCTCACCTTGCACCCCTCAGCCCTCATCCCTGAGCTGGAGGTCATTAATTCACTCAACTGGCGTAAGTGCACGGTGCCAGGTAAGAAGAGAGTTGGGAAGTGAAGAGTAGGTGTAGTTTCAGGATTCCTTTGCATAAGTTACATGGCCGGTCCTCTGAATTGATTGTGACTATTGGAGAGCAGGGCTGTGAATCGTTGAGAACAAGGCATCTTCCTGGATTAGTCAAATACTTGTATTTCATTTTTTAAAGTGTCTCCACATTGCAGAGATTCCAAACCTGTCTCAGGGTTCGTATTGTCCGCCCCCCACAACCATGACACACTGAAAAGTCTCCCCTTCTTTTATAATAATGCAAAACTCAGTTTTGAACGGAGCACAAGTGCACACGATAACCAACAAAATCACAGAGCCTCTGCTGTGTGAAGTGAAGGAACTGATAAGCAACAACCAGGTGAGGTTCTTCAATGGAGTGGTGCAACTCCTCTACGTCTCTCCCCCTTTCTCACGGAGAGGGCGCCAGCCATGCCAGGAGGATGAGGACCAACGCTAGAAATGAAGATAAAGCAAAGACGCAAGCTAGCCTGAGCCAAAGTCCCTCGTCCCTTGTTGCCACCTTTATCACCTGGATCACTTATGCCTAGATTGTCACGTGAGAAAGAAAAACATGGCCATTTTGTTTCAAGGCGTTTGTAGTTTCTCTTCCAGCGACCAAGTCATATTCTAAATTTGATGATTTAGAAACAAATTCATATTTTGTAAAGTGATTCTAGCAGCTCATTTTGAGTCGAGAGAAAACTTCCAGGTTATTTTCTCCTTTCCTGGTATTAATGAGGAAATTGAAGGTAGATTAAAAACTTAATTTTCTCACTCCACACAGGCAGTCAGCAGTGAGAACTCTTGCTTAGCTCACCTGATTTTCATTTCATCATTCTTTTCCCTTTGTGGTCCAGTTAGCAGAACCATCTAGATGGGATTCTGCAAGCTCTTTCTGGGAGGCCTGCGCAACTTACTCGCTAGCATCCCACTTCTACCTTCTCCCAGACAGCCTTCAATAGCGGGCACTTTGTCCACAGACAAGACTTGTCGCACACTCCCACTAAAAGAAGAACGCATGGCGTGGGCAGGCACCTACCTGCCGACAGCGTGTGGAATGAAGAGAGCATCCAGCATTGGATCTTCACTTGTGTTCTTGCTGAGCCTTGCCCTGTGAGTCTCCCTTTTCTCCCGAGTCCTGGACCCACGAATGACATAGTAGAATGTTTTGTGACCCATAGAGTGTGGCAATTGGAAATTCAGAAGCACCCACTCTTTTCCTTTGAACATTATCATTTTATTGCAATTTGAAGGTTACAATAAATTTAGTGTTACCATTTAGCACCAGAGTAGCTTCAATTGTCCAGATAGCGGCAGAAAGGACAAATTGTTTGCTTTTGAAAATTTCTGGCCACCATGCGCACAAGAGCTCCCTTTTGAAACAGGAGGACATTGGTATCAGTCATGAGTGTGAAAACTACCCAAGGTTCTCCAGAAACGGGAGGTAACACCCAACTACTAGCACTCACCTTCTTTGGACTTCTCTTGAAGCTCTGCCCTGTCCCTTGAAGACCCTAGATACTGTGCTTGGAATCAACCAATGGAACAAGAAGCAGCTTATATTTGAATTTGCAAAATTCTGTTTTTCAGACACAACCGTTAACCAATTCTTACCATCCTCATTTTCATCGAACACTGGCGTTTTGCTGGAAGTGCTGGCTCCCATGGTCGAGTCTCCCCAGACTTGGACCTCCCGTTACATCATTCTGACAGGAACACTCATTATCTTTCAAAAGAGATCCCAGTGCATAAGCTAGATATCTAGGAGAAAAAAACAAAACAACATATACATATATCATGGTGTACCCTAAACATCTTGAGTATAGACTGTGACCAAAATTGTAAACTAATATGTGCTACTCTCATGGAATTTTTTGTGCTTAAAAAAGTTTAATTTCAGAAATAAACAGAACCTCAAATAATGAGAAAATCCACTACATGGCTTTATCAACTGAAGACATGGGCTTATAAAGTATGGGGAAAGCAAAATATTTCTTTGGTCTGAAGGAAAGTTGAAAATATGGTTAACAGTATTTTAATAGCTATAAAATTAAAGTAACATTGTACATCTGTGTAGTCTGAGAAAACATGATAATGTTCAACTTTTTCCTGGTATGTAACCAACCACTTAATTATAAAATGTATTTCCTATCTCTGTCCCCCTTTGCAAGAAGGCACTGGAATGCAAAATGACTAAGGTCTGAGTTTGGACATCAGCAAGTCATAGAATTCCTCTTGATGTAGTTCACTTTATTCTTTCTCTTTTGAGGGCTAATTATACTTATTTAAAAGGTAGCTAAATGTCATTTAATACAAAATATGCAAAGTATTTTCATAGCCTTATTGGCCACAATGAAGTTTCAATTAAATGATGTATATAGGAGCTAAAAATCTTTGAAAAAATTTTGGTGTGTATCTATTTTCTATTTTTATTTATGAAACACAACAGTAAAGAATTTAATTTCCTAAAATTGGTAAAGGAGCCAGTATGTCTAAAATTGATATTAATGACATATTTGCAAGGTCAGTGACTTAGCCTCTCAACTCTAAAATGAGGGAAATAGTATGTAGGATGGGGAGATTTCCCCTCATGTACATTGGGCATGTTATCAGAAGGGATCAGCCCTTGGAAAAGGACATCAGACTTGGTAAAGTGGAACATTAGCAAAAACAGAGAAAGACCTTCAAGGAGATGGATTGACACAGTGGTACAACAACAGGATCAAAGCTAACCACTGAGAGGATGGTGCAAGACCAAGAAGTGCTTCCATTCCATTGAACATGGGGTGGTTATGGGCAGGAATGGACTTGACAGTTACAGAAACAACAACAAATAATTTCAAAAGACTGAAGATCTATTCCTTGGAAGCACATTTTTCAACAGCATCTCAACAACAGAATTGACACACTGAACACAAATGACTAAAAGCCACACAAGTTATGAGATGATGCCAAGGACATCATACAAGAAAATCAAAGGTCATCCACAGAAGGAAGAAAGAAAAGACTGAAAATTGCTCTTGACCTTAGAATGGCCAACAAGAATGAAAGAAATGATGTAAAAGAGATGAATAGAACTTTCAAAAGGCAGCTGGAGAAGGTAAAATGGTTTAATTAAATGTGTAATACGTGGGGTTAGAAAATCAAAAGGGAAGAATTCACTCAGAATTTATTAAGCTGAATGAACTAAAGAAAAAATGAAGCCCTTAAGTTGAAATACTGAAGGAGTCAATGGGTATAAAATTGAACCATGCAAGAACTATCAAAAGAAGATAAGAAGGAAAGCCTAGGAAGGAAAAACATGTTCAGAGACTGATTATCTAAGTAATGGTACAATTATGTTTGATATGGTTGAACTATAGAGTGATATGACATGTATTAAAGCCCACGCTACAGCAAATTAATAATAAAAAAATGCATAGATCCAGGATGGAGTTCTGGGCTCGCACTAAATCCTAGTTCCAACTTAAGAACATCACGGCTCTGCTCAATGCTCACCTCCATGAAATGATCACGGAAGATAAGGGTGCTACAGCAAAGCATGGTGAAGAAAGTAGATGGTGCCTGGCTATCAATCAAAATAATTACTGGGGTCTTGAGGGCTTGTATGCAAACAGGCAGCCTTCTAAGTGAGGAAGCAACTAAATCCACACAGAAGAAGCACAAGTGTGGTCCAATGATGACAATTACAAAATTCAAATATGGTGAAGAGAAAAGTATCAGAGCTAAAATTATGAACACCCAATTTGTAGAAGGCTATGGAGGACCGTGGGAGGCTCAGACCCATCTGCAACATGGATAGTTAGATGGAGGCGCTGGCAGATCTGTTACAGTCAAAGGCAAGAGTCCCAAACAGCCCTCCTAGCTGGCAGAGACCTTTGTAACCTTGATTAGAGACTGAATAGAACTTGATACTTGGCCATTTGACCTCCCCATAGACACGTCCTGAATTTGGGGGCAAGTATCTCTTAGAACAGTGTTTCTCAACCTTCCTAATACCGTGACCCTTTAATACAGTTCCTCATGTTGTGGTGACCCCCCCAACCATAAAATTGCTTTCATAACTGTCACTTTGCTACTGTGATGAATCAGGTGACCCCTGTGAAATGGTCATTTGAACCCCCAATGGGTGGAGACCCACAGAGTTTCCATGACAAAAACTTCTTCCCTGGCTTCTTGAATGCTGATGGGGCTCTTCTCCTGCTCACAGATTATTATTTGTATTTTTGCCTTTATGCTAATGTGATCTTATCCTTACC